AAGGGATAGGGGCAAATTGCAGCCTTCCACCTACCCTGATCAATCCTTCGTGCCTGAATGGAGAGAGAGCTTCCGTTATGGACTGCTAATAGCCTTCAGACGGACACAATCGGTTTCTCTTGATTTATCGCGTACCAACCGCAGTTCATCTACAAAGGATTCCCTTTGAACCAACACCAGAATGACTCCCTTGGCCTCTTACAACTCCGTCACGGTAAGGTGCTCAGAGCGTGGTTTCCTATTCAAATCACATTTATTTTTCAAATACTCTTTAAATCGCATCAGTCACGCAACGTTCTTCTGTAACCTTGCCCACTTGTTGCAACCTGAGAAAGGGACCAGCCAACCATCACGCTAAAAGACATTAATGGAAACTGTCATGTCTGGTAGTAATGTAGAACATGGTTTGTGAACTTTTATCGGCCATTCTTCTGGTTTCCCTCGTAAAAACCTAGGCCCTGTTAACCAGATCCCGTGAGTTAACTTAGCGCTCGTTGTTCCCTTTGAGGCTAGATCAGCTGCTTTTATGTCGGTATTTACATAACACCATTGTGAAATGTCCGTCAAGCTCTAAATAGTCGCAACACGATTGGCTACGAAGCTTTCTAAACGCGAGGCAGTGTTTCCTAAAAGCTGGAGGACCACCATGGAGTCTGTCCAAAGAGTTTTCGATGCAATCGGTAAAGATAATTTAGCTTCTACTTGTCTTATCAACTTGGCGGATAGCACTGCTGTAGTGAGCTCCAACCTAGTGTACGGTTATTACCTTTAGGGGAACAATTCGAGACTTGCCGAGTACGAATGAAATGAACGATTTTCCTTCCACAGTTGCTCGTAGATACACTACAGCTCCATAACCTTTCAGGGATGCGTCGGAAAATGCATGCAGCTGGTATTGTCTCGCCCTTCCTGTATCAAGCAGGACCTACAACGGTCAATGCACACGTTACCAAGCCCACGGAACTGCTCCACCCATTCGATTCACCTTTTTCCGATTGCATTATCCACATCATCATCCCAACCTAGCTTTAGGCGGCACAGTTCTTGTAATAATAATTGGGCTGGTAACAGGACTGGGGCAACAAATCCAAGCGGATCGTAGACTGAAGCGACGTAGGATAGCACCGCTCGCCTAGTGACAGGCCCCGAGTAAGCCTTGACAACAAAACCAAAGATGTCATTTGATTTGCCCCACTCTAGCCCGAGCGTTCGGCATGTGCTCGCAGGACCAGGTCCACGTTCACCCTTTCCTCCGTTCGTTCACCGGCGGGCAAGCCCTTGCGAACCTCTGGCGAGTTGCGGTGCCATTTGGTTAAATTGAAACCGTATGCTCGTAGCTTCCGTTTAAGGCGTATCACCAAGCTCTGAATATCATGGATAGATGATCGACTAAGGCGGAAACCGTCTACGTAGTAGGATCTCTGCGCATGGGTAATGTCGAAATAAGGATATCAATCGGCAGGGGTCCAAGACATTCTTAGCTCCATGTATCCACGTTAACGAGCCGAAGATGAACCTGATTCCGACATTAGCGTTGCCTCCCGAATCCTCAGTATGGTCGGGGATGGGTGTCTAGGGTTGCGGCTGGTCACCCTGCCGTTGCACCTCGCGAAATGCTCCCATACAACCAAGCGTCTCAAATAGCCTCTGCTGAGGAAGCGCTACTCACTGCCTTTTCGTGGTGAAGGTGATTTCCCACCAAAGTGAGAGGTCAAAAAGCCGACATCCGGGGCTATAACCGGGTTGGTGGACCACTGGTATTTCACTTAGGGGAGTTGGCCAAAAGCCCTGATTCCAAACCAACCAGAAAGAGGCGTACGTACCACATCCACCTCTTTTCGGTTGCGGCAGTGGTCACCGGCTCGATTGGGCTTCGAGGTGTATTGGGCACCTTGGACGTTGACCCCGTCCAAAGGGCGAATGATCCCATGAACTGGACACTGGCTCCCAATGGACTGCGGTCTTCACACACCACCCCACTGATTTGCGAGTCAGGCTTTGGTTAGCCACAGACTCCAGTTGTGAATTCTTCAAGAAAATTCACCTGCCTTGGCCTGGGCAACCTGGCAATATTCAACCGACAAGCGAATCATGGAACGTCTTTCTTTTTCATAAAGATTATTGTACCATGATTTGCCTGGCACATAATCTGTCTTTAGACAAGTGTGAAATATAATGTACATTAGCGTTGACTTATTAATGAAGCAGAAACTTCGATATAAATTCCAATTTTTTTGATTCTACCATGTATATCAGGGGCGGAATGTCATTTCAAAACAATCACAAAGGCATAGAATCAAAATGACAATGCATGGCAATTAAAATGTAAGGTTACACAAATTTCACTCTTGCCAGT